TTTGCGTGGACTGGAATAGGTCCTGTAAGAGTCAGTGACTCCCGTCACCAGTTGAGCGAGCCCTTTTGTCTTCCACCTATGTATGATCACTTGTTTCCTAGGCAATTAAGAGGTTTGACATCCAAGGTGCAGGAAGTTCAACATTTGAGAAAAGACAGTTTAAACCAGTGTTCAGTGTCTTTACCACTCAGCAAAACAATGCTTGAGAGTTAAGTAGCATTAAAACAGAGTATTTCCTTGGGCTCACAGCTGCATCATAGGCTACTACAGGACACACAATGACAACGGGAGCCTGGAAGAACTAAAATCCTACGTGAGGGTGTGAGTTGAGTTTCATGGGCAGTTAAATGGAACAGTGTCCTTTTGCAATATATTGGTCTATAACTGCCCTCTGTGGAACTTAAAGTAATTAAATGGTCCTAGGTGCTGTTAGAATGAGACTACTGAATTGAAGTGGTGATTTCATCTCTCTTGGCAGTTCTTGCGATTTCTTCAAGCTTCTACACTTGTCTTACTCCTTGGTCATCTTTTCCATTCCCCTATGGGAGCTGTAAATCCATTTGGTCGTTTTCTGTTCCCCTCAGGGCTGGAGGAAGGTGTGTTCTACCTGACTCCCTTGTTGCTTCTCCTCCCCTTGGTGTATTTGTACTGGAGAGGTCCGACTCATCTAATTCTTCTGCAAAGTGCCTACAGCTTCTTATAAAAAGCTGGACTGGTTTGAAGGCTTAGAACTGAAGCAGCAAAAAGCAGAAGCCAGTGCTGCATGACCACTAGCTCCCAAACTTCACAGTCCTGGAGCATATAAATACTACAGAAAAGTAATTCCTTCTGTCCCTCTCATCCCTAATCTCACTTGTCCTCTGTCCTTAGGCAAGATTTGTGCTACCCAAACCATTCTAACGTACATTGTTAATACCAACTTGTACTCGCAACACAGGAGTTCAGTGTTGGCTTCAGATCTTCATGTAAAATTGTAAATGTGAAGCTGTTTTGTTTATGCTTAGATTGCTGTTACTTTAAAAGCCTTCAGCAGAATGAGGCATCGCATTTTTGTCAATAAATGTGTAGTTAGAAAGTATTTGAAGGGACTGACGTGAGCCATGCTTTACGAGGTGAAATTTTTTGATTATTGATAACTGCAGACCTACAGTAAGTAAGGACATTGAGAAAGCTTATAAGAGTTGCTTATTAATTAGGATTGAATCCTGGCTGAAAATGTCAGATGTCTTAGAGCGATGATGCATTTAACTGCATTCATTTTAACAAATGTAGGCATGTGGAAGGGGGCAAGAGAGACAGTAGTTCATGCCTTTCCTAGGAATCTGTGGGACAGCTCAAACCTCACTGTAGCCTGTTCCCATTGTTCTTGATGAATTATAAATTGCAGTGTTTAAGGCTTGGTCTTGTAAAAAACACATATACAGACCAATTCAACCTCAGAGATGCAAAAAAACGCCAAAAAACACCCCCACCCCCCCACCCCCCATTTAAAAAAATCTTACTCTACTGAATTACCAAGGTAGGCTGGAGAACAATGTCACTGTAGAATTGGAGGGATGTTTAGTACACTTGCTCAAACAACAATTCAGCTAATCATATATTTAAAAGCAGTTTTGGGTCAAAGTTGGCTAATCGCCCATGAGAAATGTCAGTGCACAATATTACTATATTCTGAGTAATTCCGTCTCTAGAGGATAGTGTCCTAAATTCAGGGTTGATGTTCCTGTGAAAGGAGGTGTATTTTCTGGTTAACTTGAAGAATGAATTTAAATACTACTCAGCTGCGAAGACATACTACTTGATTCCCCTGCTAGATAGGCATGTGGTATCAGGGTGGTTTTTTTTTTTTTAATTCCATCTTTCCTTTCACATTCAGGCCGATGCACCTAACCCAGGGCTTATTCCAGATGCAGACGCAGTAGGTGTAACAGTTGTCCTAATTACGTGCACCTATCGAGGTCAAGAATTTATTCGAGTTGGCTACTATGTAAACAATGAATATACTGAAACAGAACTGAGAGAGAATCCACCAGTAAAGCCAGATTTTTCTAAGGTAAGGCACATTTTGTTCTGGTTATCTATCAAAGGTATGCTTATAGAAAGAGGGTTTTAAGAAACAAAATCAAATCCCAAGTGGTTCTGTAAAGTGCATGGATTGAGGCATCAAATAATGGAAGAGAATTGAGGGGACAAACTACAAGTGCCATGAGTTGCCATAAATTTGGAGAACATTGAGAAGCCCCCAAGTCTCCACCAGCTTGAAGCTTTGACTGGACTTCATTATTATTTTACACTGACTGCGTGAAATAAACAGTTGGGTACCCTCTAGCTGTACCACTGTTGACAAAGTGGCTCTGTTATTCAGAAAAACAGAATAATTTTTTTTTTCTAGGACAGTCAACCTGGAACTAAGTTTTAAGTATTAACACAGTTGTTATCCGTCTGCTTTAGTGTTAGATGCAGTTTCTGCAAAAAGGTAACAAAACAAACTGAAGAGCAAGTTATGTATAAAATGAGAGAAGATGGGTAACCTGGTAAGAGCATGGGTTGGATGCTTATCTGATCAATGGACAACTTGACCAAGGAAGTATACAGATTAAGTTTAAAAAATATACATCCTTCATGGTAAAAATTAAAACAGGACTAGAATTAAAAGATGATGTGAAATAGCATTCTTTGGAACCTAATAAGAAGATCAATTAAACATCAAAATGTGGTCAAAATCCTGTGAAATACTCTACCCAGGCAGACTCTGTACAAACTACCAAGGTTCCACACAGCATCTGGGTTTGTTTTTGATGGAAGGTTTTGTGGAGTTGTTTTTTTTTCTCTTTATGAAAGCTGACGTATATGTGTACACACTTATCTTCCAAAGTTGTGTCATGGTGAAGATTTTGTTACTTCTCAAGTTTGCATGAATTATGACTGGATATATGAAGCAATGAATGGGATAATGCCTGTACTGTAATGACTAGTACAGAGATAATATCCATAGTCACTCAAACTGAGCTTCAAATGTAAACTAAACTGAATTGGTATGTAAATTGGTTTTTTTGAAGTCTCTAATGATTTTCTATGCTTAACTTAATTTTCAGGGATCAGATGTTTAATAGTTCTCAGAATTCAAAATTACAGTTAATTTTGAGGATTCTTAAACTTATTATTGGTTTCTTTCTTTTTTCTTTCATTTAAATCACACATTTACTTGTTATTTTGGGTGTGAATGCCAGAATGTTGACTTCCTTTAAGCACTTGAATTTAGAAATGCCTAGAACTGCTTGTCTTAATTCTCTGCTTATATAAAAAGCTAGCTCTGCTTCTGTGAAAGAGAACAGTAAAAGCTATCATGTATTTGTTAAAAAGTCCTTAATGTGACTTTGGGACAGAATTTAAACATACAAGTAGAAGGTTATTAAATTGATCCATTGGTGGGTAATAGACCCTACTAGGTTCAGAAAAAGAAATGGTCTTGTTAGTTTGCAGAAGAGGTTGGGAAATATTTAATGAGTGTGCTTCCTTTGAGAATAAAATCAGCACTGCTACCAAAGCAGACTTTTCTTGTGATCAGTCTTAATTTTCGTGAGTGGCCAATGGTGCTAAGTTGCCATCCTCTAGGTAATCTTTCACCATTTTCAAGATAATATATAGTTAAGAGAAAGTGAACATATTGCTTTTTTGGCTGCATACATAACAAATACAACATGTTTTCAAAGGAAGATGAAGGCCAGTCATAAAATATATGACTAATGTCTCAGCATGTCCACTGCCGCAATATTAGTATCTTCTGAAATCAATGTAAAGCATGCTAATTTAATTTAAGGATAGGTTGTACTCTTAAATGAAGACAGACATTTGATGGAATTGATACAATTATTGCAAAAACTGTAAAGTTGATGCAAAATTTTATGAAGTACTGTGGTTTGCAAAATTTTTGGGGGGGTAGTCATTTGCTTTACTAAAAGCTGGCTAGAATAATAAACACTTGCACTTTATTTGCAGAGTTCTTGTAGAGCCTTGAACTCGCATAACAGTTAAAAATATCCTCTCAAGGCAGTTATTTTGCTGAGTAGGATATTAGAGTAAATGAACAAGTAGTATGTTTCTGTAAGCAAGTTTCTGATCCATAGATAGTAGCTACAGATTCACATTTATATGAATGACCTTTTTAAACAAGTTGTTTTACACATACAAGGCTATGGGGAATAAAAGGGGGAAAAAAAATCTATATGCACGTGAACTCCAGTTTGAGATGTACACATTACATAATCAGTCTATTTTCTCTCTCCCAGCTTCAAAGGAATATTTTGGCATCTAATCCCAGAGTCACGAGATTCCACATTAATTGGGAGGACAACACTGAAAAACTGGAAGATGCAGAGAGCAGTAACCCAAATCTACAGTCGTTGCTTTCTACAGATGCATTACCTTCAGCATCAAAGGGGTGGTCAACATCAGAAAATTCATTAAATGTTATGTTAGAATCTCATATGGACTGCATGTGACTAACCACCATCGTTTTGGTACTGTACATGTGTTAAACTGTAAAAACAACCAGAACTATTTCCCTCAAATTCCATAAGTACATAGTTGACAAGCAATGTGAAGAACTTGTTTTAAAACATCCTGTAGAAAGTTTATAAAAAAAACCAAACCAAACAAACAGTATTTGAGCAAATTGTGGAATATAAATACAACTATTTTTAAGTAATTGCCTTTTTTCTCTAATGTGTTATTCTATGTGGTCTAAACCAAACCTGATTAAAGTATACATATTCTCCCCCCTCCCCTTTTACTTTGTAAGCACTATTAAAAGCTAAAAAACTTAGAAGTTAAAACATTCAGGCAAAACGAAGGAATAATGCCATGTCCCCATCTCTGATAATCCAGATTGCCAAATATAAAGTGCCCTTTAATAGCATCTTAAGAACAAAACTGTTGTTAGATGAAGTGCAAAGAAAAAGTATCTCTTAAAAAAAAAAAGTCCAAAAATGTCCTCTTGCTGTGGAAGCAGACAGCGCAGTATAATTTTAGGTGCAAGCTTCTTTTTCCTTTCAAGGCACATACTTGTTACTTAAAGCATGCAATTTGAGATTTACCATCTGCTATCTTGGATTTTAGGACTTTTTTTTTTTTTTTTAAAAAAATCTCCTGCTGCTGCTGTGGTTTAAGGACAGTGTTCCATCTGGATTTGGGTGGGTATCTCAGGAAAGAATCCTTTTTCAGACACCCTAATAGCACACACAATTGGTTGGAAGTATTGAAGCAATTACTAGAAAGTTTAAGAGTTAAGCAGAATAGCACAAGTATCCAAAAAATGCTCTTCTGCAAGACTTATGTACAGCTGCTGGTTGATATGTTTATTTTCAGGTATGCTTTATTCTTGTGGTCTCTTTAACTAATAATAAGGAGTTTAGATGCTTTCTTTCAGTGTTTTAAAACATCTGGAATTTAGAACTTTCCTGTTTTCTCCCTACCCTTTAAGGCAATCCAATGCACTGGTATAAATCAAGATTCAAACCCTGTTGTGCCAGGTGTGACGCATTCAAGGATACATTGCCTGCCCTGAAGCTCTTGCACTGAGACATCCCTATTACCTGATGCATCCTTGAAGATAAAAAGAAATAAGCAGTAAATTGTAAAGACTTAAGACATTATTATGACACTACCAATTTAGTTATTCATTCCAATCCTCATTAGCCTTATATGTCTACTGTGACTGTATGTGCATTTAAAATTGTAATCTGTCATGTCAGATTACAGAATATAGTTCTGCTAGTTACTAGTAACTGCCCAGACTGTGAACCCTTGTAGGTTCCATGTCTTTTAAAAAAACCAAAAAACCAAAAAAAAAGGTAGGTTTCATGATGATTGGCAGTATAGCTCTGAATAAAAATAGACCGCTTTCTCTTCTCTTTCTGCATTCTCAATAGGGATGAAGATGTCCCAAGCAGTTAGCACTTCTGTCTTTCCACATCATTAGTGAAATTGTCTTCGTTTCTAACGTGTATATTTTTTAAATCAGAAAGGAGTGACCTGATCTGAATGTACATGCACATGTATGTTTCTTGTATGGAAACTCAGCAGTACATATGGTAGCTGAATGAATTCATAACATCCATTAATATTTGGAACCCTAATTCTAATGTGTGCCCTTAAAAATATCTATGTGATTGTTTAAAATTATGATTAGCATTTTAAAAATACTAACACTCTTAATATCAGTATGACTTAACACAAAGAACTGGTTGCCAAAGCAGCTGCTTCACTTGAGGGCGGAAATTATGTGAACTTTTAAGAAGGATCTTTTGATTTTTCAATTATATTGCAACTTTAAGGTCTACAGTGACATTTTGAGATTTTTCATGCATTTTATTGTTCTATTTATAAATCTATTTAAGATATCATCTCTTAAATGTAAGCATGTAAATAACTTAGTCACCTTTTCAGGCTAATACTGACATGTCTGTACCTTGAGGCAAGGCTACTGTAGTGGTATTTCAAACCCTGGCACCTATTGAAGATTCAAGAGAAAACATGATCAAGTACAAGCTGTAACCAGACTCCATCCATCAGTAGCATGAAGGCTTCTTAGAAGCATATGCCACCCAGTGATGGAAGCAAACTGTATTACTGCTATTGCAGAATCAACTACAAAGTCCAGTCAGCAAAACTATGTCACCCAGCAAACCAATTAATTTAGAGAAATCAGAACGTGAAGATCTATTGTTCTGTTTACGAGGAAAAAAGTCAACTCTGCACATGGACTCAGGTGCAATAAACTTCAAGCTAGACCAGATGGCACGATGCTGCAGTAGAATTTGGCACCACCTTACCTGACACAGTAACACATCCAAGCTACAGCTGACCCACCAATTAACAGGAAAAAGAATAACCCTACTGTACTTGGTGAAAACTGGACAAGAACAACTGGACAACACCTCATGAGAGCACCTCATGATCTCTGCAAGAGAAATGGTCTTCCTCTGCTTTTTGAGAGACTGGATGCCTCTCAGGTCTTCAACTTTGTCCAGGTCTTAGCAGTCCACACCCACTGTCATCTGAATATCACTTTTCCTGGCAAAATCAACATTCCAGAGACATGGAATTTTAGAAACCAAATTCCAGTTCTCCAGAGGCTTCAGGTCTGATAACTGGGCAACATCACAGCAGAGTTAGTGATATTAAAAGATACAGTGCATATAAGGCATCTCTGTAAAGACTTGTCCCTGATCTCTGTACAGGGGGGCTGTACACATGGCGCATAGACAGCTAGCGCAGACAGCACAGCGTTACAATTTCAAGGTCAAAGATGAGTTCACCTTCCCACAAACCTCCACTTTGCAGAGACCACCAAGATGCAAGGGAATGCTACAGATTCTGTTGAGAGGACTGGTGATGCATCTCGCTGTGTTTCTACCTCGGACAGATAGGTAGCCTGAATTCTATGAGAAGATTGTCATAACGCTTATCAGAGATTACTCAGGTACAAAGAAGTTAAGACAAGGATCAGACAAGGTAATGTTACCGATGAAAAACATGGGTGGGGTTTTTTATATCTAGCTTGAAAAAACTTGTCCCTTCATCTTACAGTCATTGTGATTTATTCATGCATCACCTTCAGTCTGAATTACTATGACACTGGGTTTGAAGGGGGGCAAAAAAGGCTCCAGCTCCATCATAGTGGAGACTGGTGAAATTTAACCTTTCCAGTGGCTCTACAAAGCTCCACTAAAAACGCCAACCCTTTTACTACCAATCTTCAAGACTGCTGCAACTCAGAACTTTAATACAATAACCACAGTAGCTTAGTTTATAGCTCACCAGACAATCTGTATCCTTGAGATAGGGGTGACAAAGTCACAAAGACAAATCTGATGATCTGACAGTCTGTTACTTGCTTTGTAGGGCCTCAACTGCTGATTTTCTGGAAGTCAGTTCAGACTGGAGGCCAGCCACTTGCAGTTAGGCAAAGATTGTCCCCTGCCATCTGAAAATGGTAGTAGGGAAGAAAAAGGAATAAAACCAGAACACTTACGCACTTGCACTCCTGGCAAATCCTCATTTGCCAGAGACAGCAAAAGAGCAAAAAATTAACTAAATCTTAACTGCTTCTGTCTGGGCAGCTACAGGAGATCCTTCACATACCTACTTACCTAACTACCCTCCCCTTATCCATAGCACAGTGGTCTGCAAGCTTGCAGATTCTCTCACTGTTTAGAGAGCCTGCAAATTTTGGTCTGGAGATGACGGGTTAATTGTTCCTGTTGGTGCTAGCTGGAGGGCTCTGCTCAGTGCCAGCCGGGAAGATGCAACAAAACTAACAACTACCTATAAGGGCTGGTGGCGTGTGTGGGACTATTCATGTTAGGCCTTCCCATTTGTATTTATGTTTCCAGTTAAAGTTCTGCTTCTTAAGAGTTGGTCTTGTAGTGTGTGAGATGAGAGCTGGGCTGCAGGAGACAGGTGGAAGGATTTTTGCTTGATTTTTGGTTTGGCCAAGGAAGTGTGTCTATCGAAGAAGAGCCAGTTGGAGTCACTAGGGAGGCTTTGTTAAAGGCAAAACCCAGGTTTCTATCTGGAACTTAGAAAGCAAAGGCCCTTTCAAGAGGGGATGGAGGGAGGACAGACTTTCCAATTTTTGGAAATGCTGGTTTGGAGGCATGGCTTGGTACCGTGGCACAAGGGATGTGACTGGCTTTCCTGCAGATAGAGAAAATCAGAGGAAGGAGGCGTGTGTATTACGAGATGTAAGAGACAACAGCTGTGTGTTAACAGCAGTGTTAAGAACTGGCTGAAACGTCAGGAACCTTGAAGGAGTTCTTGGTCTCCCTCCGAAACACCCCTGGACCATGACATAAGGAGGCCTACCTTTCAGCATAAGGGGGTCCTCCAGTTTGTCCTGTCTCACAAGGGAGGTGTGGCAGACATGCAGATACAAACTAGGAAGAAGCAGGGGCTTTATGAGATGGTGAAGTGAATCCTGAAGACATATGATACGCATCCAGAAATCAACTGCTTGAAATGCCTGCCATGTTAACAGCAGGATATAAAATGTCTGATGAAGGCCCGCCTAGATCTATTATGCAGAAGTGCGTAAGACCTGAAACCTCCAACATGACGAAGATGCTGCTTCTGCAGTATTGCCTGTCCCATCACAGGGCTTCAGATACAGGTGTATGAACAGACCAAATTCTCTGAAGACAGGTATGTACTTGGCTAAATAATCTTTTGCATGCAGGTAGTCAAGGTAAGCTCTGTCTCAGGACAAACCTATCTTGGAGAAGCATTACTGAGAGGAAATTAAGGGAATTTAAGGATCTGCAAGAGATGAGACATTGTTACAGATGTGGCATATCCTGGCAAGGTTTGCTCACAACTTCAAAATTAATTCATTCAAGAAGTCCAGCAGACTTCCTACAGAGTTAAAGCCTCTTCAACTTGAGGCCCAACTGTTTAAGGAAGAGCCAATGAAGTCATGCTCTCCAGAAAATATTTTAAAGGTACATGCTGATAGAAAATACTTAAACTTCATGTACAGTTATGACTATTCAGGAAAACAGTGAAGGATCCTGTGGTAGAAGTGAAGTTCCGAGAAGAGTGGCCTAAAGGCTGCATCTCTGTTAATAACCTGATCAGGGCCAGGATATGGATCCACAGTGGAAAACTGTTCTCTGGCACTTCCTTGGCCTGTATCAACTAGGGAATGCCCAGGGACAGTTTGGGGAGCTACAAACAGGGCAAAATGTCTCCAGTTTCAGTGTCTTGCGTACCTCAGGATACTGACACCATGTACTCTATTCCTAACGATAGCTGGATGGCTCACGTCAGCCACTTTGCTCAGAAGGGAGACAACTGTTAGCACCTGAAGCCTGCCTAGCAGGGCGAGGCTTACTATGAAGAAGAGACATGGTCGTTTCCCCTCGAGTTAGCTGCCTTCAATGAAAAGAAAAAAAACCATAGTAGCAAACTGCCATTGGCATGATATGGACAATGTTAGACATTGCAAAATGTCAGCAAAAAGGCAGTACTCTTAAGGCTCTAGAGGCTGTGAGAGGCCAGAAGGCTGCATTTCTTACCGCTCAGGAAGGCATATTGTACAGAACTGGAAAGCTGGAGAAACAGCTGATAGTCTCCCAGATTTTTAGACAAGCTGTTCTAAATACAGATCACAAAATTCTTTAAGCAGTCCATCTGTGGAGGGACACAACACGAAACAGAACTTTGCAGAAATGTGAAAGGCAAATGTGAACCAGGAAGCAGCAGAATGACTCTGGCCCGGACGTCCACGAGCTCCAGACCCGCCAGCAGCAGGCGTGTGTTGGCTCCTGTCCCTATGGAGTCGAACACACCACCTCAAGCTCCACAGGTAAATTAAATGTTTCCTTACTAGTGATTATCTCATCCAAATATGCACAAGCAGCACTATGGTGCTGGGGACTGCAGCACGGTTGAAGTCATTAGTAAGGTGGGAACCCACAGAGATTTGTTACACCTCACCAAGTCTCTATCTTTGTAGAAAACTACGTATCAATTTCTAAAAATTAAAAAGTACCTGAATGACTCCCTGTGATTCTCAGATGTCCCACTGTGTAGACAGAACCAGACAGTGGGACAGACAGTTCCCCCAGCTTTTGTTTACAAATCATAAAGTCCTATAGCAGTCAAATAAATTTTTGCCATTGAGTTGTTGAGTGTGGGCTGGGAGAGCAAGAGGCTTTTTAAAATACAAGGAATATTTACGTGAAATGTAGATGATCTAAAGACCCATAACGATCCTTTCACAACGTGAAACTCCATCTCCACACATCATTACAGGTGATTCTGTGGCACACATACCACAGTAAGCTTGTAAACGGCAATACTGGTTTTCAGGGAAATGTCTTTGAACCTAGCTATCATGGCTGAGCTGGGAACCAGATCACATGGAAAATGAAGCACAGGAGGGAGACATGGTGAGGAAAGCAACATCAGAGGCCAAAAGCAGCTGACACAGGGCGATTGCTACGGACAAAAATGGGCAAAGCCACATTGAAATGCACGGCAAAATTTCACTCCAGGTCACTGTCAGTCCCCTAGCAAAACTTAAATTATCCAGCCTGTCCTCAGTTATTAACACAGAACAAAAGGTGGAGAAAAGGTTATGCTGAGCCAAAATGTTCTCTGGCTTTTCTCCAGACCTATTTGTCAACAGTTTGAACGGAAAAACAGAGGCATATGTGTTTCATAACAAGTCCCCTGTACACAAGAGTGTATATGTTCAACATCACGTCCCACTTCCACAGCTATGGAAGACCTGGTATACACATGTACGAATAGCTACGGAACTGGAAAAGATTTATTCTCTGTTTTTCCCATGTATAAATAATGCCGTTTCCCAGACACAATATGAAAAGCAGCACTATCTGGGAAATATTCAAGTTACACATGCTAGCTGAGACACTTGTGTTTGTTCCTAATAATTCCATGATTTTGAATGTACTAGTAATACAGTAATTGACTCAACTAAAGTCATTTGCAGACGTAATCTAACCCTGCACATTGTGCCCAGAAGAGTTTGTAAAGATACCTGGCATTCAGAGGCAGCTAGGACTGCTAAATTCAACAACAACAACAAAAAAACCTTGCTTTCTGAAACTATGTTGAAATCATCTTTACGAATCAGAAATAATTCTGCAGCACAGGGGTGAATTTCCAGAAAGTAAGCAGAAACCAAACTGGCACCCGGCCAAAACATATAAAAGAACAGAAGAGAGGAGAGGGTCTGTTCAGGAGAAACCAAATGATGCTAGCCCACATCATAGCCACACAGCTAGTCACACAGTGTGAGCTCTGGAAAGATGTCACACTTGTCATAGCTGGGAAGAACACTAAAAATACAGCAAGGAGTGAGAGGTGCCTCTGGATGAGACCTGTAAGGTTCCCTGTCAGAAGCTCATCACACTGCTGCACTGATACAGAAGAAGGGGCAAGACTGCCCTTCTGCAGAGAGTCATGTCAAGCCTCATATGCCTCCACAGCAGTTCTTTGCTTCAGCTGTGCTCGTACAACCTGAGCACACACATATGTCCGTATGTGTAAAAGGCCTCTATATAAACATACTCGAGTGAAAAAAGTAAAGTGTTCCACCTGAAGAAGCACATACCTGCACTTGTAGATCCAATTCCTGCAGTAAGCACGGAGCGTGGTATAATCTTTACTGCATACTTGAGAAACTGAGATTTCCCCGTGCCTGGGTCTCCAACCAACAAAAGATGCGATTCACCTTGGAGGAAAACAGTGATGTAGGAGTAGACAGTTCATATACAGAGAAAGATACACACAAAATGCTCAGAATTAAATAATACTTTTCATTATTCAGCTAACATTTAGCACTACATATACATTACAACATGTAATTCTGTTTAAGACTGCACTATTTATTGGGTGCGATAAATATATTGGTTAATAAAAGCATATTGCTGCACCCAAACCAAATATTTAAAATGAAATATTTTAAAGGTATTAGCAGGTATTTGACAGACTTCCCATAATGTGAGTTCTTACATTTTAGAATACTCATTTCTCAGACTCAACTCACTCTTGAACATGAAACAAAAGGATATCAGGGTTTAGTTATTATTCCACTATTCAGTTACTTAAATTATTGCAAAAAGGACTAATAAAATCTGCAGGTTGTTTTTCTTAACTAATTCTGTTACGTTGCCAACAGTTATGTAACATGGTGATTTCAAAATGATGAAGTTACAGAAGTAAATAATTTGGCTAGTATGATCTCGCTCTAAAGTGCTCTAAAATTACTTCATTTTCTTCTACAAAATATTAATACAACTTCAATTCAAATATAAAGTCTAGAACTTTATTTAGCTGGTGGAGGATCAAGAAAATCCTGTATTTGTATATACAGACATACTATTTTAGAATTATTATGACCTACATAGATTATGACCTGCGTACCACCTGGCACATGGCATATTTGCCATCTAATAACAACAGAAGGAGAGCCAGCAGGCAGATAACTTAGAGTAACAGAACTAAGTGAGATGTGCTGACAATCACAGATGGAAAAGTCTGGCATTAGGAAGTAAAATGAATCCTTTAATTTTTCCTTTCAATGTACTATAGTGATCCACATTAAGGAAACATTAATATTCCATGCTTTGATGTCAAATACTGCTGGGAATATTCTACTAGGAATAATTTCAAAATGTCACTTATACAATAAAAAACGAGTTTTTATTTGATCTAAAACAACTGTCTTTAATATTCAACCTAATGGAATCCTGAATGCCTCCTTTTACTTGGTTTTATTTGGGAAAAATTAGAATAAAAAGAGGAAGTCTAGACACCCACTTTATTTGTCTGAGATTCAGGGAGAATACTTGGCACTAATAAAAAATTGCTCTTACTCAAGAAAATGGGATGATTATGCTTCCGAAACTTCACTGGTTTGATTTTGGAAGGGGGAGGGATGTGGGTGAAGACAGGGATGGGAACAATCGTTAGAAAGGATGCGATGCTACTAGAAACAATACTAACCTCTGATTCGAGTTCCAGTAGCATCAGTCCTCTGTACACCACCAGCGAGCACCATGGCTACAGCCAACTTTACCAGGTACAATCCAAAGACTTGAGGACATAAGCTAGCCAAAATTTCATTCCTCCCTAGAACAGGAGCAAAAAACAGCACTCAGCACTGCCCTAAGAGTAGAACTTGGTTTCCCATGGACTCCTATGTACACTTAATGTCCTATGTACACTGACAAGTAATTGTCCTATGTCCACAGTCCTGTGTACACTCACAAATAATTTGGGTCTGCTTCCTGAACAAGAGGAAGAAGGCAGGGAGGAGATTTTATTTTTTTTATTATTTTATTTTTTAAGTGGGACCCAAAGCACTTGTTATCCAAACTTCCTTCATTATAAAGAATTTAAGTCTTCCACAGTCACAAGCAGCAAAGCCAATCCTACCACACATTTAGGAATGCATGGTCTGGGTATCATAAGAAAAGGCACTAACGAAATGCCATCATGCAAACTCTTTTATTTCATAGATAAAAGTGTAGGGGCTATGAAGAATAAAGTTTAAAAGTTTCCAGACTTCAAAATATCCCCTTGGAAACTGGTGTGTTGTACATTTAAGAAAACATCTAACACTTGAAGTTTTTTGCCCTAAACCTCTGCACCCATAGCACGGCTCATTTTCTCATCATTGTCTGGAATCTCCTTCTCCTTCAACCCTTCTGTGTCAAAGGTCCTTCTCCTCCTTCCTACCATAGTCTCTTTCCAGCAACAGAATATTTCAATCATCTGACATGATAATGTTGTTCGCTTGGAAGGTGTGTAACAGAATTAATTCTGTCCTTTTTGATTCTGACGCTAACAGCACATAAGGGATCACAGGTTTAATGCCACACATTACTCCCATTGCTAAGGAATAAAACGGAGTGACCCATTTCGAGTTCTTAACTTCATGTTTTAAATTTAGATGCAAGTACATGGTACTGGCAAAATACAGAGGCACCTAATAGATGACTTGAGGCATATGTGTTTCTTGTGGAGGTCTTCTGAAGGAATTAACACATCTTTGTCCAAAAGAGAAATTGTAAAAACTTTGGTCAGCCATAGCATAACTCAAGATTTAACTCCACAGTTGCCTCTATTTGACTTCAGATCCATTTGCCTTGTCAGTGCTGAGCAGCTCAGCAGTTCTTTCTTCCTAGATAGTATCCAGAAAAAATAAAGTCACCTGTGTAAGTTCCCTTAGACTTTCTCAGGACACTGAATACACAGCATCAGGAACTGACTGACATAAAGTGCAGTAGTACCTACTATTATCTCTTGAAAAGCAGTAAATGTACACACATCCTGTTGTGAAATGACCCATACCTTATACTCCTTAGTCAAATTTGATCTCTGCCCTCAGTTTCAACTCAAATTCAGACAGACAGCCTTGGGCAGTCAGGGTCCTTCTAATTTCCACCTCAATTTTCTTGTAGCCACTTCATTATTAGTTTATTCTGAATGGGTAATACTGCATAAAACCATATTGCTCCCTGCAGGCTTCCAAAAATTGTCCTGAGAATGAAAGATTAAATAGGACCTTCAAAGAGGATCCTGAATTACTTTCTGAGCAGTTCTAACCAGGGTGATAGGAAATGTTCTCCTTCCAGACAGCAGGAGGAAGAAATGTTCTCGTTCCAAACAGCAGGAGGTTAGCAATTAAATTGCCTTCCAGGAAATGCAGTTGTGAAGAACTTTGCCATTGACAAGATCTCTAATTTCTTATGTGAGCAGGATAATTTTTAAGCTGACATGGGCAACACTCCCACCTGCTTTTCCTCCTGTTTGTCTTTTAAGAGGAACGACTAAGCCCTTTTCAGGGTTTTAAAGGACAGAACATTAGCCTGAGACAGTTCAGTGACAGAGATCCTTAAGAGTCCGTTAAGCTTCCCCACGGTTCAGGAGGAGGCACTCAAGACTATGGAGAGGGACAGAGTTCCAGACACAACTCCTGCTGATCCCTACGTGGTTGACTGCAGACCACGGTAAGTCCAGGAGCCAGCGCACCAAACACTCTGTCTGTTCTGGGATCACTGTGAATTGGGAGACTCCATGGTTGATAGGAGGCTCCACTGCACCTAAGCCAAGGGTCTAGGGATCCAAGAGTTAGGTTACAGATGAGATGCGCTAAGCTCTGTGGTGAAGATTCACAGCTTAACTTGGGATGCAGAGACAGTAGCTCTCACCTCAGAGTCAACAGCTATGCTGACTAAAAGCCGATCTGCTCCATGCTATTTATTCTAAGAGGTATGCTGTTTCTTCCTCGATTATAAAACACTTTTCTGGTTTTCCCTGATACTTATATTATTTCTCATTTCTTCTTAATAAATGTTCCACAAAACACTCAACTAGAAAGCTCAAAAGAAGGAAGATCAATGCAGTACGTTTGGTACTTTTTTCCCCCCAGTAATATTAAAGTAAGAATGTCATATTTTTTGGAGGGTGGTGGGATAGGAAGATGGGGGAAAAATGTATTCAGTCATTTTTCACTCTTGATTTCATCTGTATCCGAACACGTGTCCTACTTAAAAGCTTTCAACTACTAACCTGCTAAGGGATCATTTCTATGCTTTTCCCAGAAGTCTTCAAATTCCTTGCGGACTTCTTCATCAATTACAACCCCGGCTAGCTGCTCATTGTTTACTTTAACATAGTTGGCTTTCAAAACAAGCTCCAAGTCGCAGCGTGCATCCTCGTGGAAAGGTTTCCACCTCTGCATTACCACTCCATACACTGTGATGTCATCTCCTGGAGGCAACAACAAAAATTAGCAAAATAACATCTGACTTCAGATATGTTAGCTGTAATGCATAACAATGCAATTGAGATCCTGTGTTACAGTTAATATGGTTAAAAAGACCCAACAACAAAAAGCAAACCTCCTGCAGTTACTAGAAGTCTAAAACAACCATTAGGCAGATTGCTTATGTCTATGGTAGGAAGTTGCTACGTCTTTCTACTTTTGCTTAGGGTAGGTGAATTCTTAAAGGTATCCCTCTGCTTGTTTCCTCTTTTAGAAAAGAGGAATTCACAGTACACTCTAGAAACTCTTATTTCAATTAGATTTACTATACAAAAAAATGAGTCAAAACTTATTTGATTTCTGGTAACTTTTGTGATGAATTCCAGAATCACTCATTAACATTCTGGCCACAGTGTTCTGAGAAAGTGCAACCAGAAATTTAATTTCTCGTGGGGATGTGCATATCTGAGAGTTTTTAGCCCATTACTCATCCATCCTCCTGCCAATTAGCTTCCTTTTTGAACGGCAAGTAGCTTTTTCCACCTGCAGCACTCCTTAGATAGGAGGTCAGGTTACGTAGCACTCTGAACCTACAGAGGGGCACCGCACAATGTGTGATGGTGTGGACCAATTTCCTCAAGAGGTTTGGTGTTCCCACACTAACAAGATTTAATATCCTTTCTGTACGTCACAACACATCACTTATTGAAACTGATCTGCCAAACAGTCAAGATGTAACATGGGGCTGTATGGTATTTTCTAGAACAGCCTTCACTGCCATGCTAACGTCCAAGCTGAAACAGCAACAGATGACAAATGAACATACCTCATTCAACAAGCCCTCAGCACTGACAGCCTACTTGGCAAAGATTAATCTCAAATAGAAAAATAAAAATGCTCATGGTACAAACACACGTCATATATGCTACATCCTCACCAGACTTGCAACTGTCCACTAAGTCATCTTCCAGAACAACCACCATGCAACGAGGGATGCTTCCAACAGACAGCCTTTGAACCTAGGAGGCAGGAAGGAAAAGCCCTTCTTAAGAACAGCACCTTTCAAAAGCCATTTATAGCTGCCCTGGCTTAAGGACCTATATTCCTTTCCTGGAACCGAGGTCAGTCCTTGCTTTTTCTCACAAAGCTTACGCAGTAAGCATGCCACTCCTGCCATGAACTTAGTAACGGAAGTTTAATGCTGATATTAATGGAATTGGGATTGGGTATTAAATTAGCTGAAGGTGCTCAGTCCTGGGAGGTGCCGCGTGATTCCCACATCTTACTGAAGAAATCTCACTGAAAGAGGTCATTTGAAAGAGCTGATTTTTTTTTTTTTTTAATATTTTGAGATATTTTTAGATACTTCTTCAATATGCAAAGTTTACTTTGGGTACTGAAGCATGTCCACGGGTTAGATAACCCTTCACTGAAGTACATACTGAAAGACTATTCCCTATATTTTTCTGGTATTTAACCATAATTTGGCAGGCTGAGATTCAAGTTTACATCTAGGAGTCAAGGATTAAATCAACCACAGGAAAAAACGAATCACACACAACCAGACAAATGTATATTGACAAATATGCCAGTAACTCCTGTAATTCTTTTTCTTTTCTCCAGGGCAAAGTCTATGCAGTCTTGTCACAGTCTATTTCCAAACAGAAATCTTTCCATTTACACTCAAAGCCTGTAATAGTTTTTAGAATATCCACTGCACAAGAACAACAATCAGAAGTACCTTTTCATCCTGCAGCACAGGTCATACATGCTAGAATTCTAGATTTATTCACTCTCTAGTGCCTAGGAAGGTTAATTCACCCTTGTGTATTATCTAAATGGCCACAGGCAGTTCACATCACTGTC